AGTGGCATTTTGTAAATGAACACCCCTAAATAGCATTCTTGCAAATGTACACACAAAATGTGGTATTTTTATAATTGCCCCTTAATTTTTTAGTGATTTAATACTACTATGTAAATTTGTTTTTGTCCACCTACAACAAAAATTTAATATTGTTAACAAAATGGCTAATTTGGTGACTAGCCAATAAAACAAAAAAAACTTAAAAACTAACCAAAACCTATCCATGTGGCAAAATCGTAACCAATGGATCTAGGGATTTTGGTTAGTTATTTAGTTTTGTTTTTTTTCTTAGTTATACTTGCTAATTACCCTTAACAAAACTTAATTTTTTGTATCATAATACTCATTATCATTAACATTTTTATATAGGATGAATTTGTGGGATAACAAAAAAAAACATAATTTAAAAAGTAACAAATTGGATATTGGGAAATATGGAGAGAAAAAAGTAAATTTTAGTTAGTTTTTATATTAAATTTTTTTACGTGTGTTATTGGTGTTAATTTCTCTTTTATATATTCAAAAGATTTAATTTAGACATTATCGTTTCCACTTAGCTATTTTAGCCCACTACTATTGTCTTCATCTGTAAAACACCTTCCTTGTTGAAATACGTTTACACAGAGCTTACTCTCACTGGAACTTCTTTGGAAAAAACAAACTGACAATGGAAACACCAATTTATAGCCCTATATGGCGAATTAGGGATGGGACAATTCCGAATATCCTGGAATTTCAGAGTATCTAGATCTAGAATCGTCGGATCCGTGAAAAAATTATCCGGATCCAGAATCGTGACCTCCGGATATCCGAGCTCTAAAAATCTTTTCAAAAATCAAGATATCCACGGATATCCGGATCCGAAATTAATATTAAAAATAATTAAAATCATTAATAAATAAATAAAAATATATTTTTAAAAATTATTAGTTAATATTTTAAATGATATTTTTCATTATAAATATAATTTATTATAAAAAGAACTAATATCAATTTTTATATATATTTATTTATATAAAATTAATTTAATAAATATATAATATATATAGTTTTAATATATTTAATGCATCCGGATCCGGACCTTAAAATTTTGCTATCCGGATCCAGATTCTCTTTTCACGAATCCTAAATTTTACTATCCGTATCCAGATCCGGACTCCCCGAATATCCTAATTTTCAGAGCAATTCCAAACGGATACAGATCGGATCTCGGATAATAATTCAACCCCTATGGCGAATGGATGCAAATTGACAATATTTTAAACGAGTGGTGATCAAACTAATCCAAAAACATAGGTTCTAAGGCGCAAGAAACTCAAAACTCAAAACATGTTCAAGGTAACATCTTTCAGGTAAAGAAGAAAAATATCTAAGCAGCACCCTTTCCCTTCTTCTTCTGGATCTTCTTCATGTAGAACTCCAACTCTTTACCTTCCAATATGTATCTGTTTCACAAGAAAGAGACAATGATAAAAAAAATATATCAAGTAGATATCAACAAAACTAAATATAGATTGAAAGCAGGAGATTAATACCCATCAGCACGTCCGCACTGGCCAGGCCTTGATGAGATACAAGCCAATAAACGACCGCTAGAAAATTGGTCCTCAATGTGCGAATCGAGATTGCGACCTTCTTGACGCTCCTTGATCTTTCTCAGGACATGGTTGCTCTTCTTGGTCTCCTCAACAGCAGCTGCCTCTTCGACTTCCTGTATAAAACAATATATAGTAATGTACACAATGATGATAAACGTCTTTGGTTAAATTGAAAGACAGCATATGTAAATAATTGTCTAACAGAGATGATTTTTCTTACCTCTCCTTCCTTCTTGGTGGCAGAAGCAGCAGTCTTCTTCTTACGGCCAACTTCAACACCGTAGTGGCTGAGATACCACTGCTTAAAGGGAGCTGCGTCTACCTGAACAATGGCACTCTTAACAAGTGTTTTAGTACGCACAAGTTCATTGTTGGATGCATTGTAGACCACATCAAGGACTCTGGTCTTTCGGGTAACTGCTTCACTTCCCCAAGAGTAGTTACCGGTATCGAGCCTCAAGGCACGCCATTTGACATTACCTCCACGAACCCTGATTCTTCTAACAGTCTTGTTGCTTGACAGCTTGGTGTTGGCAGGCTGCCTTCCCATCTCATACCTTTATAAACCAAAAACACAAGCTTAAGAAACCACAATCATAGCACCCTCAAAGATATCATGATTGCTCCAGAATTGTGAGATTATAAATAAACCAAATTATACAAATAAGCCACTTTCAGATAAACACTAGAGAAAGTTCCAAAATTTAGAGGATAGCTTACAATGAAACATTTCCACCAACACTACATTTCCTGACATTACAAGTCTAAATTCCAAGCTTAACACTGATGTTTAGACAAGGACGGATAAATCATTCCCACTGATTCTCTAACACAAACCCAAGCAGAAGAGAAGATAAATCGACAGAGATCTGAATAAGAGCAAAAAAAAAAACGTACTTTCGCTTCTTCCTCCATAGCTTCTGCTTCCCTCCAGTAGCACGCCTCTTGTGGATGGAGTCACGAGAAATACCTAACAAGAATCAGGCTTCATTATCAGCATCGAAACATTCAATACGAAGAACAAAGATGGAGAAAACATTCGTACCCATTGTTGCCTCTTAGGATTTCTCCAGCCGCGGAGTTGGAGACGAAGAGCGCTAAGTATAGAGGAAACCCTAGTAGCTGCTTCACTTTATAAATAAGGCCTATTACTATCTAGCCCATTTAACTACTTGGGCCTGCATAATTTCATACTTTCTCATTTCTGATTTTTTCCAGATGTTTTTGTTTCCTTCGTTTTCCCACCTCATATATTTTTCTTCGCCTTTCCTTTTACAATAACTTATCTCCTAATTTTATTCAAATATATACCTCTAAAAAAAGAAATTGCATTCAATAACCATAAAAAAAAAATTATAA